ACTGATTCGGATCGGGTAAGAACTAAGCAATCATGTAAAGCTTCCAAACAGCAACCACCAAAATATTTTCGTATATCGCATTGAACATTCAAGTACGGGTATTGTTTACTGTGCTATCGCTTCAAAACTCAAAACCGATGTACTTAATGAGAAAATAACATTTGACTAATCGAGGGGAATAAACAGGTTCATGGCAAGAGATGTACGTCAGTAGAGAATCAATGTTGATGAAAAATTCCATCTCACTGGTTCACCTTCAGGTCGCGGAAGTTTGTTGGTTAACGTTTAATCACACCAGCCGAGGTCAATAGGAAGCTGTCTGATTACGCTACAATTTCAAATTAACACATTAGACTGTTGGGGATTATGGAAAATGTGATCAGCTATTCACAGCCACACAACCACATTGGGGTAGGATGGGTGGGGTATTCGATATGCGTTAGTTGCCTCATTCAAAGTATAAATGCTATAGCAATATCTGTGCACACGACAATACAAAGTGCTCTGGTAGAAAAAAAAGACATTACTCATTTTTTATTGAGAACAGATGCTGAGCTTCCCGCGAATACACTTTGGTGGTGAAATCGTAGTTGATTGCTACGACTGTAGACGGAACTCTGTATCTCACCCCACTTAGCCGATCGTGAGCTACCCGGTAGATGATCTCGGATGTTGCGTTCACTGTTCGTGTGCCGAGTGCTTGGGCTCGGATGACACTATGATCTCATTTTTATTACAATCTATTTCAATAGCCATGTTGGACACAATTCTTGAATTGTCTCTGACAATGTGATGGTTCTTCCTAAGTATTATGCTTCATACGAACATCATTAACAGTAGACACACAAAATGAGGTGTTCTGACTAGGAAATTTGTCTGTGAGCTGTAACTACAGCATAAGCTTTAGGTGAAAGAAGGGACCGAGCTTAGTAGTAATTGGGCTGTATAGTCAACCAGTTAGTGTTTCGGTTGACTTCGTTGAAATCAATTATTTTATAACCCCTTTCTGTTAGAGACATTGGAAAACCCGGACGGAGTATCAGTCCTAGAGTACCTTTGATGAAACTTTCTGGATAGCCGTTTTCTCTTACTGTGTTGCCTATCAGAACAAATTCATCTGTAGATTTGACTGACTCCTTTTTATTATGATAAGTACGTTTTCTCGATCTTACATCGAACCAAAGTGACGAATTCGGTCTCTTTTGGTAATTCGGTCAGCGAATGATGATGCGCAACACTTTAAGTTTCATCTATGAGGTATTTTAACTAACATTGACTCATCATATTATCTCTCATCCTTAGTTTCTCTGTTCCCCACTTGTTCCCATTAAGCTTAAGCAGAAACCCGCAATGCTTTGGCCTCGATCTAAGATCCTTTACTTTTGACCCAAAATCCTTTAGTCGAAACCCGCAATCTCTAAGCCACAACCCGTAGTCGTCTAGCCTCAACACAACAAATTTAGTCATGACGCTGTAGACGAGTCAGATCAAAATAATCGGATATCAACGAATGTCGAAACATTTTTATTTTCTATAATTGTTGCTGTCGCAAAGGTGGGTTGAAAAATGAGATGTGGTTGTTGCATGCTGCACCATAAATTCCCTGTAGTATTAGTTTTAATCGATGTGCCCATAGCGTCAGAACATCAAAGTGCATTTCGTATGGCTTCTGTGTTCCCTGTTTAAAAAGCGCTACTCCTGTGAGTCTAAGTCGGAAATGTAACACGAAAGGGTATAATGTTTTACATCCACAAGCTATGAAATGATGCTTTTACTTCACTTGAAGTGAACTCCGTTTTTTTAGGGGTGGGAGTGGATGAGGTGTAGGTGGATAAGTTAACAGGCCGAGGATAATAAATACCGTGCGCAAAAGATACCCTCGTTAGTACAGCTGTTCTATCAAGCTTCAAAGAAAACCCGTAATTCTTGATTTCGACCGTCAAAATTGTGTTGTGTCAAATGCTAAATATCAATTCAGCCTTGTCGGTTCGTTGGCGAATCAGTCCTTACCTGCATGGAAGTCCTGAATTGGTGGTAGGCTTTCGATTGGAGTTAACAGTATGTCACCTGTGTTTCCCGTCGTTGCTGAACAAACATGAATTGGCAATTTGGTTCATCCATGGCATGAGATGGTTGGTACACACGCCTTCCATGCGATGGGTCCGGAATTCAAATCCCGGATGATGGGACGGTGGATATGTACTACTGATGAGCTCCAATAAGAGCGAAACTCGAGTCTATAGTGCTTCCGAGTGTATGGTTGAATCAATGAACTGAGGATTGTGCGTGAAGGTGAAGTCCGGAGGCTAGTCAGCTCAAATCAGTAAAAACATATTATCCCACACCAGACTACTCACAAGTAGCTATGAGTCAAATGCCAAAAATGGTAGTGTCATTAAACTGATGATAGTAATGGGGGGGAGGTGTTGTTGTGAACGGAGTTTATTATCCTCGGCCTAATAATGAATGTATTCACATCACAAGAAAAGGAGTTCAGATATGAAACAATGAGCATTGGAATTTCTTCAAATCATTTTTTCCTAAATTATTTCACTACTTGTGAATGCAAAACAATCTACCGTGTGTGTTACATTTGAGATTCTCACTCACAGGAGACGCGCATGTTATACGGAAACACTGAGGCTGTACGAGATGTGACAAATGGGTTGACGATACAGACATCCGTTAAACCTTCTCAAATTGACATGTAATGCAGCATACAACCGCCACACTTCATTTTTCAATTCAGCTTTGCAATAGCAACATTTGTAGAAAACAAAATGATTCAACATTCATTAACTTAAGAATATTCCGATATTTTTGAGCTGACTTAACTATAGCGATATGACTAATGTTTGTGCGCTGAAGCTAGGGTATGATAGGTTTTGGTTAAAAGATTGTGATTCGAGGCTGAAGGATTGCCGGGATTGTGCCTAAACTTGATGGGAAAAGGTGTAATGACGTACGGCGTGTGTTTACAAATTACCACCGATCGTAATTGTAAAATAGTTAAAACACCGTTCTACTTGTCAATCAGTATGACAACCTCAAGCCGTACAGTTCCTTACTTTTAATTCTTCATATCTCTTCACCCGGTTTTCGAGCAGTGAACTACGAATCAATGGACTAACGAGATACTTGTCGCAAAAATCTTTTAATGATATAAATTGGAGAAATCATTCGATGTTCACCATCACTCCTATTTTGTACTTACATATCAACTCCCCATCCTGCACCCCTTCCCTATCTTACACGCTGCACTCAATGATCTTGCGTCGTCAGCTTCTCTCGTCCCGTCTCGGTAACGACCGGTACATGGAAAGAGGAATGAATACATTGAACTGTCCAGTTATACCAAAATCTGTTCAAACTAATCGGATAATCACCTTTGAAAAGTCAGCCATGGCCACCGTATGGGATATGGCCGATACGTTCCAAGAAGAGGTACAGGATGCGGATAAACTTGGTAAGTTGTACGCGCTATTTCACCAAAATGTGCGCATTATGCGCATTACCAATTTCCACAAACACTATCATTGTTATGGGATTTAGAAAATTTACAAAAAAGCAATAAAAATGCTATCATGCGTATTGAAAAGAGGAATAACAGTTTCAGAAATCTCAATCGACTCGGTGAGTATTCGAGGCCTTTTCTACTGTTTTATTCAGACTGCGCATTCTGTGGCGATATCATGGTACCTGAGTGTATCATGCACTGACTGAGAAAGAGAGCGCCATGCTTATCCAGCTGCAAGCACAACCCTGGTCACCAGCATTCCATTGACTAATTTGATAATAGCAGAACTCAAATAGACTAAGGTTGCAAGGATAATGAGTAGATGCAAGAGCGACACTGTTTACCACACTCAGCGAGATCACTCAGTGTCTTTAACCACCGATTACGATGAACCCGAAGCCCTCATCCAAGAGCCGAGTCTCCTGATTAGGGTTCCTGTACCCTCATGCCAGGTCTCAGTTTGACTACTCTTGTTATTTTCCCATCCGCTACGTGTCACATCAAACATCGTCGTCACGGTATGTGCAACACATGCCTCAACCAACAGAGCCTATGGAAGTCGACTACTTACTGCTGAGGACGATGGTGATTACACAAAATCTTTGCCTGTTTCGTTTCCCACCAGACTCGTACAATGCGGTGTAGATAGCAGTGTTTGAATCAATCTTTCTCTTGGTATGTTGTTGTAATTTAACTCCCCAATTTGTTCTTAAGACGCACTATCTTTCGATTGTGCTTTGACAGTGCAAGCTCGCACTCAACGAATTGCCTCACGATTCGAGGTTTGTAACTTTTTTTCGTAATCATGTTTGTCATAATAGTACCGCATCTCAAGAGAATCTCGTCTTCTGTTGACTTCGGGATTAGCGCGTCACTCGATCGTTAGGACGGATTGCCAGTGTGCAATCCACTTTACAGAATCTTCTCAAGGGATTCTACAGACAGTTTATGCTTATCTTTTGCCCATAGTGGTCAAGTATCTTCACCATAAAGCAGCACTAGTTGATCTGCCGCTGTAATCCGATCCAGCGAAGACGACAAACATCTTTGAGATGTGGATCAATTCGTGGTTGGTGCTATGCTCTTTTGATCTACCACTCGAGGTATTGGGCCATACTAAGATAGTTTCACGTTTAATTACCGAAGTGCTTGAACAAACCAGATAGTATTCTGGCTGATGGTCATGGTAGGATTCCCCAAACATACACTGAAATTCTGCGGCACAAGTTCAGATAGATCAAAGGAATTTATTCGAATTTCTTTCTCTTTTTCCTTTTTCCTTTCATTTTTACTTCCTTCTATTGTTTATACAATGATACAATTTCAGGAAGGAGCAACCATTCAAAGGGATGCCATTGAACACACAATGGGGAAAGTTAGGCGGTGTTGGGGGATTCGAACACATCCCCGGGGCGATAATTCGATGACGTTACCACCGGGTCACCACAGCCCTCGCTGTTTTGATGTAATGCAATAGTGAGAAGAGCAAAAGTTTCGTTGAGATCCGAACTTGAAACTCATTCATGCAACCGTTTATCAATATTATCACCAATATTGTTAGTATTATTATTATAATTACCTACATAGTGCATCACTGATGTCCTACTTGGTCATGAAAAACAGTTGTATACACAGTAACGTGATGGCATATAATGTCCGCAGTGGTACATGTCATCTTCCTCTCTAGTGTATCCGTTTTTATCAAACAGAATAAGATTCGGTATCATAATAACAATTATTTCTGGTCCCAACGAAACATAATAACTGTTCAAGTTGCTATTTGGCAGATTGGACTGTTAATTTGAAATTGTGAAAAGTTCGGTGGGACTTCAATCTGCCAAACAGCAATGGAAACAAATAACCTTGCCTTAGAAGTTCATTCGGTAGACTCCGGTGAATTCAGTATTAAAACTGTCGTGGTAATAAGCTACCGAGTGGGCGCCATATGGTTTATTAGCGAAAACCGAGAACTATCGAGGAACTTCAACGGAGCATTGTGGCGCAGTGCGAAAGTATTCCAACTGCTACCATTCTGAAGATGGAAGAAAACTATCTTCACCGGATTTTGCTATGCAAG